AGTGGCTAAGGCATTTCTTGCTACAACTTTGTATCAATTAGTAATTATAGTAATGCTTTCCACAACACAAATGGTTTAGTAGTTTAAGCAACAGTTTGACATACTGAAATTTTCTGGAACTACACTCTGTACCCCAATTAAGCCATTCATCTTATGAGTTATATAAATTGAGTTACATAGAATAAAAAGTATGGGAATTTACTGATGAGTTCCTAAAAAGCAAGGTTTATCTAATCTATATCATTTTAGAAGAAAAAAAAAATAAAACAGCACTTCTGAAGATTAAGATCTTTATCCGTCATGGCTATACATTCTACTCTGAGCAGAATAACCATCTGGAAATATCTGATCATGCTCCCCAGTTGTACTTTATACACTTGCAAAGCACTTTGGAAATCCACGGTTAATGTCACCCCGTTAATGTCAGCCCAACTCAAATAATTCCCCTAATTTACTTCCAGTTTTCCAATATATTAATTGTATTTAATCTCTGAACTGCAAAGACAGACTCTAGTTAACATAAGCAAGCATGTTCCCAGGTACCATATTAGAATTCGGAAACTGAAGTTAGGTATCTGTTTCTTGTGCAATGCATGGGGAGAATTAAGTCATGGAGGTCTAAACTAGTCATAAGGAAATATTGGCAAGAGGGGTATACCCCTTTCTCAGGTCTTTTGACCTGAGTTAGCTCACTAACTTCCCACCTCCCAATTTCTGGCACTCAAATTGTCTTTCTGGGTACAGATGATTCATCCTCTACCTTTTAAAATGGGGGATGGGTGATGACACTCATGACGATCTTTTCTAGAATAGTTTAGAGGTTATAGCCTAGGAAGCATTGATGGTTTCCAGGCTTCTTAGCTCATATTCTCTACCACCCACAGCTTTAAGGAAAGACTGGGTTAGGCCTCTGCATCTGCTGTTGAAATTATGTCAAGAACATGATTAATAGGTTCAGAAAAAGGAAGCAGGTCGTGGGGTAGGAAGGAGGGAGGCATGAATCTATATTCCAGTACTGAAATTATTAATTTGGTTTCCACAGACTTCTAACTGTTTATATTTCTTATCCAAAGATGCTTTTAAGCAGTCCTAGGTCAGGAACAAGAACACAGGCCTCCCCTCTTAGCCATGTATTCTAATCATCTGAATAGAGTCATTTCATAGTTTCATAGTAGTTAGGGGTCAGAAGGGACCTAAATAGATCATCTAGTCTGACCCCCCACCACTGGCAGGAACACACGCTGGAATCACATGACCCTAGCCAGGTGTTCATCCAACCTCTTTTTGAATTTACCCAAGGTAGGAGCGAGGGCCACTTCCCTAGGAAGTTGGTTCCAGATCCTAGCCACCCTAGCAGTGAAATAGTGCCTCCTAATCTCTAACCTGAACCTATTCTCCAGCAGCTTCTGACCATTGTTCCTTGTCACCCCAGGTGCTGCTGGGGGGAATAGGACCCTTCCTGTTTGCTGCTGATCATGTTCCCCTTTGTTTACTCTCTGGCCTTATGAAACTTACATTCAGTTGTCAACCCAAGACAAATATTTTGCTGACAACCTGCAACATTTTTACTGAAAACTAAACTTCTTTACTGGCATATGTTTTACATAATGTAAATGTAACCCTTCTGCCAGAAACTGGACAAGTACCAGGTTCAAACTATAATAAAACAATTTGGAGATTATATGTAAAAAAAAAAAAATATATATATATATATATATATACACGTCTTGGATTGGTAACTATGGCTGTGCGAAGCTTCAGTACTTGATATATGGTTCAAGCCAAATCTCTGAATCTGAATTGAATCAGAGGACCCTTTAATTTCTCCGAATTGAATCAGAATCCTCCAGCATGATTTGGAGAGATTCAGAAAGATTTGGTGATTTGGACATAGACACAGCTTTAAATGTTTTTCTTACATACCTGTAGTTAGCAAGCGGCTTGTGAATGCTGTGATGCAGGGGCACATGGAGCATCCCACAGGACCATGGGGAGTGCCCCAGTGTGCTTGGCAGCAGACCCAGAACTGGACCAGAAGCACTTCCGGTCTACTTACAGGTCTGCCGGAGAGCGTGCAGTGGGTCCTCCCCCCGCCCCCCGACTTGGTGACTGGTGCCTTCTGGGTCTGGGGAGGCACCCCTGTGGCCAATTGCCGAGCTGGGAGGGCATGAGGAGGGGGTCCCCCAGAGCAATCCCCAGAGGACCCAAAAGTGGACTGGAAGTACTTCTAGGTTTGCCACCAAGCAGATGGAGGGCCCCCCCCCTCCCTCCCGCACTCCTGTGGGACTCGTTATCCACCCCAGCATCTCAGCATTCATTAGCCACATTGGTACCTCAAGGTATGTAGAACATTTTTTTAAAACTGTGTCTATGTCTGAATTGCTGATTCTCTGAATCAGCATTGAATCTTCAGATTTGGATGAATTGAATCTGGGACAGTTAACAAATCGAATCACTGTCCCTGATTTGGGTTGAATCTGAATTGAATATGGCCCACTTCGCATACCCCTATTCTTAACCCCTCTTGACTGCAGCAATCTTTTTACACTGTGCTGTCCCCATCTCAAACCCCCATATCCATATATCCCTGATTGTACCCTGCACCATGACATTCTCCCAACCAAGCTTCAATCCCTGCCATCCCAACATAGACCTACCCCTCCCAAAGAAAGGTCACTGTCTGCCAACCTGTGATCCAAGTGTTTTAGGTAGATGGGAAGCAACACTGCAGTGAGGGGAAGGGGGGGAGAAGAGGGGATTAGAGAATGAGCCACAAAGTCCTGAGAAGAGGTATCTTTGGGGTATTGTATTCCTGTTCAGCCACCAGGTGGCGCTGCTGTGCTCTTTCTGGATGTAAATAGTGAGTCCAGCTTGTTTTCCAACCATGGAGCTTGAATAGCTCCATGCTTTTGTGGAGCTGATTTTGCTTTGTGATTTATGGACAACACAATTTTCTTACATAATTTACATTCTCTAAGAAGGCAGGAGAGGAGAGTTCGAAACACCTGATGCAGTGAAGTTATTTGAACTTGAATTTCCAATATCCAGGATGGGGGCTTAAACTAATAGGCAATTTTATTAAAGTGAACCTTGCTCAATTCTTTGACAATTGAGATGTAGATACCTACTTTAAGGAAAGGGTTCAGGGCTGTCTCTCAAATGGATGAAGATACCTCCCCAAGCCCTCACTATGGCAATGGAAGGACAGATTTAAAACCCTCCCCAACTAGGTTTTTCTTGTTGGATTTCCTGCTCCCGCATATGTAGGCTGAGTTTAAGATGCTCTCTGCTGAGTCTGCTCAATGTTTGCAATTCTATTTTGAGATGTTTATTTTACCCCATGCATTGTACAAAAAGTCTCTGCTCTTATTTGTTTTGACTCCCCTCGGGGAATCAGGCACTGAAGAGTTGGTGTTTGAGGCAGTTTTTGTTACTTAAGTCCTTTTTCTATGTCTCCCAAGCATTTGGGAATAGCCAAGATGATACATTCCCTCTTCAACCCCCCTACACAATGATGGCAGATGGAAGTTTTATGTGTAGGAGGACAGACTGGGCATTTAATACATATGTTCTGGGAGGCATGAAGGAACACTTTAATTATTGCAGCTCTGAGAGCTGTGCTAACTAAAAGTCCCCACGCCGAAAAATGGCGGTGGCGTGCTTTGAACTAAAGCTCATTGAATGAACTTTAAAGTGCCCTGCTGCTATTTTTCAGTGCAGGGATGCTGATACATGTGATACTGGAGGCTGCTGGAGCATATTCATGTCCATGTTCCAGCAGATTCAATTAACTGCACATTGGAGCATGTGTATAGGAGCCCATTGAGCCTGTTTTTCCTTATGTTCTGTATGTTGCCAAAACCAGTTATGAAATTTACTAAATAATTTATAGTTACAATGAATAATAAATTAAAAATTATTGATATTATTGACTTGAATATTTGTATTACTCTCTTAATAGTTCTTATAGAATGAGCCATATCTTCATATGCATTTGTTTATTTCAATTGACTGCAATGATGCTGTGCTGATTTAAACCAATTATCTATTAGAACCTTTTAACAAAAGGATTGAATGATCAGGATGCATTCACAATATGACTGAAATAAATACAGCCATAGAATTTCAATTTTTTCTCATTTTTAAATCATTATGTACTGCTATAGCTAATCTTTTTAAGAGCTTTGTTGAAACATTACCATTCACTTTTTATATTCAACACACACTCTCAGAACACCATTTCCTGAGGAATTATGGTTTGCTCTCATCTTCCCCTTAATATTCCAAAAATTAACTATTAAAATTAAACTGTCTTCAAAACATCTTTGCCTTTATTGTCCTCAGTGTATCATTTGGTCACCAATGTTCATCGACTTCAATTACAAAAATAGATATTTCCATTCAGGACAGCTAATAAGTAAAAAAAACATTATGGAGAATACTGTCAATCAAATGCTTCATTAGAAAATGGTGATAAAAGCCAGTGGCAGCAATAAATTTTATCTCCAAATCAACCACACACAGTTCAAATACTGCATGTCCAATAATAGCTATTAATGAGTCATGCTGTTTTGTAAAACACTCCTGTCTCTCTTAGATTGGAAACACAATAACTGCACATCAAGGAAATGACAACCTTGCAAACTTCCATTTTGTTTTCTTTACAGGCCTTAGAGCTGCCCCAAATTCAGACAGTCATGGTCTTGCTTCCTGCCTAGTCCTGTTTATCATTTGCTCTCTGAAGCCTAATAAAGATCTTTATGAAATTTTCTTGTAAAAAAGAAGCTGTATCGTTGATTTTCCAGCTTCAGGAATAATCATTTGAAATACAGCCTACATCTATGATGACAAAGGACAAGCTGGCATAAAAATGTATGTGAACTACTGCTGTGTGAAACTCATAATAATCACCTCTGTTGTTGAGAGGGTTAGGTCACTTACAAGGTTTAAAGATTTTTCCCTCTTAGGTGCAAGTGTATTAATAGAACCTTTTTGCTTACCGGAGGATCTTGGTCCTCAGCTGAAACTGTAGCGATAACAGTGCCCTTGACTGCATCTGGAGCAACCATTCCTCTGTAGAGAGCTTTACTAAATACTGGGGAGTAATCATTCATATCCTGCAAAACATAATTAAGAGTTTAGTTCAGAAGTTAAATGAGATTATGGACACATACACAATTGTTCTTTCAAACTATACCCATTCACTCCTTTCCCATTAGAGAACCCATTTACCACTGTCAGCCTCTCTGTACTTTCAATTCTATTACTATCACACAAGACTGACACCCAAGAGGAAGATGCCAAATTTTCAATACAATATTAATGTATGAGAGATCAACAGAAAGTAATTCTGCTTCAGAAAACAGTCTGCCACCCAAATAAATAAAGCTTCTAGGGACTCAAGAGATTCTCATGACAAGTTGCTTCTCAAGCAATGTTCCACAATATTTTTTTGTTAATTTGCTACATTGGATGAGCATTCTGTTTCCTGAAAATGTTAGTTGCTCTCTTATGTGTGACAAAAAGGATGAAAATAGATTATTATTTTACTATAAAGAAATTATGTTGGCTTAAGATTGTGCTTTTTTATACTAAGGCATGTTTTACCAATGAGACATTTTTATTCTACCTGTATTTTCTAAGCAGAGGTAAACTTCAGAGAGGAAGGAAGCACAAAGAAAATTATACAATAATACTATGCAACTGTACCCAGACAAAAGACTAGTATCAACTGCCCCATCAAGAATCATATCTATTTGGGATCTTCCTTTCACACATTCATAAAAACAACCATCTATCTTAATAATGGACCTTAACCTGAAATGAATATTTGGTGGATAAATTTCCTCAGGATATAATCTACTGCATGTTTAGCAGCACATAAAATTAACACACAAACAAGGTACTTACAAGCTTTACATTCAGATTGCCCTAACCAAGTTTAGAGCAAACTAAATGGCTAAGTGTGAAAGCTTTCATAGGGCTTAAATCAACCTAAAATGGTGCATCTGATCTACAGTTAGTTCACCTCAGAAGTGAATTAATGTCAGATCAGCCTGGGTTAAACAGACTGAAGATGTGTTAACCTGGTCTAACTAATGCCTGCAAAGCCTGGGAACTGGAAAAGGCCATCCACTTACTGCAGCTCTCTCTCCCACAGACCTACCAACCCTGGAACTACCAGACTCCACAATCCCCTCAGCCCCTCACTCCCACCAACTTACTTATCTCCGGCTGCTGATACAAATGCCTGCGTGTGGCACAACCTGACTCAGGTTTAGGTTGGTTGGAAGCAAGCCACGAAACTTAAGTCAGGTAATATGAAGACTTGTTCACATACATCTATGCGCGCGCGCGCGCGCGCACACACACACACAAAACTGTGGTTTATAGTTTTCCTGTAATCTTTTGTTTTCTGATTCATCCATATATTATTTTCATATTCGAATCCTAATAAAAAAAAGATTTACTCATTTTTGTAAATTCTGGGTACCAGAGTTCATCTTCTCTGGTTTCTAAAAAAGTGCAGAAAAAATAAAAAAGGATCAAGATGTTCTAAAACACACTCAGTAGAAAGGAGCATCTTCATTAATCCACAAAGAAAAGCAGTCATGCATTTATTTATTTTACTTACTTTTTTTTTTTTTAAATATAGAGTAGATGACTGCTATTAAAGAAGAATAGGTGCCACTTATTGGATAAAACCACATGATAAATTTGTGCAATGAAATGGTGCAAATTGATTGCTGTACAGTACTGCTGTTACAGTTCTTCACTTTGCTGGTATGCACTGATTTGGTTGTACTAGAGAGAATACTTCGCTATGAGGGAACAAAATAGATCCTATAAAAACAATTACCTATATCTCATTAACCAGCAAAAACAGCTGCATTATATTCAACTTTTCAAAAGAGGTAGTAATACTGATGAAGAATGTCTTGCATTTGAAAGTTTGTCTAACTCTGTCCCAACTATGCAGTCAGTCCAATAAAAGATATCACCCTAAGAAATCCTTGCTTAGTACTAAACAACAAGGCATTACAGAATGAAGACATTATCATTATCATCTATGGAAATTGTACATAATTCCAACAACTGATTTTCTCTAGGTTTTAGACCTGTTTTTTGTCTAAAGATTTTAAAACATAATCAGATCATTGAAATAAAATTAAAAAGTTCAGCCTTTTAGTCAATCGCAATTTAATTTAGTCATTTGCATGCAGGTAAATACATTTCTGAGAAACTAAAATTAAAATAGAATAAAATATTTAATTTGATTGATTTATTTGACATATTTTAGTTGTTAAGTCTTAAATTGACTTATTTGCAAGTTGCACAATTTGCTTCATCTAATTATCTAAATTCAAGGACTAATTTTTATAAATAAATCATATTTCTGAAAGTCAAATTTTCAAAATAATCAAACACTCTGGCTGGGATTTCCCAAAGCACTTATCCTTGGAGATGCATATGACTGGTCAGAAAACTATGAGGTTTCAAAGCAACCAATTGTAAGCTATTACAGTTGGACTCCAGTCATCCTCCATCCCAATGGAAAAAGGTACAGGATTTAAAGTTGATATTCTCACATATTTTGGTAAATGCAAACAAAGCAGCTACAGATACTAACTGACAGAATAAATGACCAATGTACTTAAAAATATTTTATAGTTGATGTTTTTCACTATATAGTGTGATATATATTTTTTCATTATATTGTTATATCTCTGGTTCTCAATATTTTCCACATTATGACCCACATCCAACACTGGGATTCCTTTCCCATTTATCATTATAAGAAGGTGGGGTGGCCATGACTAATATATGCTTGCAGTCCCCACATTGAGGAGCACTGTTCTTAACCATGCTAATAAAGGTCCATAAGATAATGGAAAATATGTGAGGATGCCCAGAGAATGTCATCATATTGTAAATTGATGGGAAATTCAATGGACAAAGATTAATTTTAAGCTCAGCTCTTTCAACTGCATGCACAAACCCTGCTGTGGTAATAAGTTGTCCAGTCCAATGCAAAAGTCTTAATTTTCAGTCGAGCCTCATTTCTCCCTCTAATATTACAGAGCAGTTTGGAATCTAATCAGAAACTAGGCATAAGCACAAGAGTTGTTCCTGAAATTGTGTGCAAAATGGCAAGCTCTTTTTTGAAATGTAGGACAATCAATTGTTTGTTGTTGTCATGGCTATTAAAATATGACTTGCTAGGCTCTTAAAATATGTCTTGTTAGGCTATTAAAAATATAGATAATTATTTGTACCATGCAGCAAAATTTTCAAAGGATCCTAAAGTTAAGTCTTCCAATCCTACAGTTTCTTAACAATTTAAGTGGAAGCTAGTAGGTCTGTAACAGTTTTGAAACTGGCCCACTTGTGTGTGAGCTTTAATCAGGATTCAGATGTTTAATGAGTCTAATTTGTCAGAAGTCCCAAGCTTTAGGTTTCACATCCTTGATTTGTATTGAATTTCAATGTGTTCAAGTTATATTAATGACGTTTTTTTCATTTATTCCTTTATTTTGCTGAAAAATATTCAAGACTAAGTAAAACTAAATCTTTTAAAAAAATGCTTCTTTATACCCACTCACTTGGGGAACTTGTATCTTACTGAAACTACATAATTTCTTCAGAATACCATCATCTGAGTGAGGACCTGACTTTAACAATACATTTTGTTAAAATGGAAAAATGAAAAACGAGACAGACTGACTTACTTTCACCTCTGTGATTTAAACTAATAATAATTACAACAATATCAATAATAATTCCCTGAAAGATTCTAAGTGCAGTTATAACTAACTGTTATGGGAAAAATATTTTGTGAAATGTAATGTGTTACTTAATCTTTTTCACTCTATGTATTTATGCAACCTAATTTCGTTAATATTCTTATTCTTTACTGGCAGTCGCATTCATCGTTAAGGAAAGACGAAGAAACATTAATTATATTAATGTAAATTACTCCTTGCAAAAAGATCAAGACAGTCATCCACTGAATGCAAACACAAGTCATTTCTGTATTCACTGTGTATTTGTCTCTTGTTTAGTGAATATGAATGAGATTACAAGTGACAATGGGGGTGAGAAGGTCAAAATTTCAAATAAAGCTGCTTTCTGAAGAGAGGACAGAACATCTTCATCATTTTGGAAGATAACTTTCATCATCAGATCTCTCACAAAATTCAAGGTCTGCTACTTTTATAAACTGTTTTATACAGGTTATAGATTTGGGACAGAATTTCAGCCATTAAGTTATACTTTTTCATCTTAGAGTCTGAAATTCAAATTCTATCTATCTAATTAAACTGCTGAAACAATATTCAGGAATTGTAATACCATTACCTTTGATACTATGATAGGAGACTCCTGTATTTATTTCCAATTCATATTTGAAAAGATGCATTTTTCATCTAGCTCACTAGAGCCTATAGGCTAGGGATAGACAGATAGACATTCAAAAAGCCTGAGCCTGAATTTTTCCCATCTTTGCAGATTAGTCTAACCTGCCTAGGTTGAACCAGTTTCCAACTGAACAGACATTCTCTCTGGACTGAAGAAATGCAGGCACATGCCTGCAGTGGCTCAGGCTAGAAGCCGGCGAGCACTAGAGCAGCCCTCCCTTCCCTGCCAATGCTGAGCTGAGGGGAGGGTGGCCAGGCCCCAGCAGGATGCTTTGATAAAGGGGGAGGGGGTGCCTCCCCCAGCAGGCAATTGATAACAGTGTTTATCATCCCATTAAGAAAACAAAGGGACATTACCAGATACCTACTGATTCTGCCTTTGTCCTGCCACAGCATGGACCTTAGCCAGCACGTGGTCTCCTAGCTAGTGCTGAGGTGTTTGTAAGGCAGAGGGGACAGGAAGGGGAGGAGGGGAGCAGGCAGATGCCTGCAGTCTGGGCTGGAGCTGCAGCCAGGAAAGAGGGGAGGGGCCAGCCTTGCTGTGGAGCAGAGAGCCCTGCCCAGCTCAGAGAGCATGCCGGGATGCTGGGGGTGTCTGATCCATTTTAACCCAGCAAGGGGTCTGGGACAGACATTGCATAAACTGGGTTGAGCCAAATCAGTTAAGTCTGATACATTCAACCAGGTTTATCTCAAACCGG